AAGTGCACGGGTCGCGTTCAAGTAATAAAGTGGACTTTTTGAGTTCAGATTATCGATCCATTGAGGAATGTTTACTTTCAATGACACAACCTTTAATCAATTTGATTCTAACAATGAAAACGAACACACAATAAAGATTTTGATTTTGAAAATGAGAAAAATTGATTAAAACCCTGCAAAATAAGAAAACACAAACACTCGGAAATTTTGGAGAAAAAACGTGGTTAGGATTCATGGTTTCGCTTAACCGTCGCCTAATTAATTTTTTCACAAGTCAAGTAACAAATTACTCATTTACGATGTTAGACCCGATTTTTCAAATTTAGTTAATTACCTATTTCGAGCGAAATTAACTCTAATTGATTGATTTAACTTACTATATCTCTATATCGATTCAAACCAAACAATCGCATTAAGTATTTGTGAAAATAGTTCAATTGATCACCTAAGATTCTAGGTATATCTCTATCACCTACACAAACCTAGGATATTTACTATCTAATCTAAAATGTATAATCTTCTCTCGAACGATGTACAAATCACTAAATTCAATCATTTAATGGCCAAATATATGAAAGACATTCAACACAATACTAAATACACATGAAAATAACCATTTTAAGATTAAGCCCTTGTTTGAGCTCCATTTTTCCATCGAAATGCATTCTTGAACAGTGATTTGACCTAATTAAAATCATACATTCTTTAAAAAATGGGGTTCAACAAACCCTAAAGAGAAAATATTAAAATTAATTAAAGTTGGGTTAAGTTACTACCAGAAATTCCAACACAAATAACTAACTCATNTGACAAAATAATTGAGAAAATACAAAGTTATAGATAAAACCTTTTTTTGAATTTTGGCCTTGACTTCCCCGAATATTTTTCCAAATCCTTGAATGTATTCTCCTTATACTCTTAATTTGTATCCCCAAAATACTAAGAAATTGAAAAGAAAAAAGAAAATAAAATGAAAGGCGAAAGAAAAAGAAGAAAAGAAAATAAAAAAGAAAACAGCAAGGAAGAAGACCTAGCGTCAATCCCAGACTGCCTGTTTTAATATTTAAAACCTAGAAAATTTGCAGTCAAATTCCTGAAGTTTCAGAAAGTGACAAAAAATCCCAATTTTTTTTTTAAATGGTGCCTAGGCACCCATTCGCTGCCAATAAAACCAAACATTTGTTTTATTTTGCACCTAAGTCCATCAAATAATTGCACGTTGGTCCCTCAACTTTGATAGTATACAATTTTGTCTTCAGATTTTGACTTTCATATCAATTATGGCCTTCACAAATTGCATCCAAGATCCTTCAACTTTCTGCTTTGTTACTTTGGTCCCCAAATTCACAATTTTTCACAATTTTAGTCCATTTTTTCTCATTTTGTCTTTTTACTTTCTTTTTGGTATTTTTACCGACGAATATAACAATTACATAATTATGAGTAGATTTTCGTCATTTTTATCAATAATAAGCATATTTAGGTGTTAAATAAGTGTGCAAAAACACACTTATCACTTGGTATCATTAATTGAGCCAATTTCTTGTTACATCTGGCTTCACCAATTCTCATGCAGACACGTCCCAATTTATCTTCACTACATGAGTGTTTCGATCTATCTCTTGGTCTATTTTGATGACATAATCATTAATGGAGACTGGTGTGTGCTATCGCAGGCACCCAAAAGCAATACCTTAACCTCTAAAACTAATGTAGTAGTTGAAGTAAGGGTCGATCCTACGAAGAGTGTGTAATTCAATATTTTATGCTCCGTACAATGATTAGGGGGTTTTGTTTGTAATGAAATCAATTTTATAATTAATAGCAATATAAATTAACGAGTTGTATTCAATCAATAAAACTAATATTGATCTAAGTCAACTTCCACCATTGGAGATTTATAACTAATAATCGATCCACAAAGAATAATCAATCCACATTCTCAGTATTCACTGTTGGAATTAATTTATATTTCTCCTTAGTTTTAGTTAGTTAGAAACCAGCATTCTAATTAACCCTAATTATTAAATACCTCAGACCAGCGCAAAAGATTCAATTTAATAACAGCTTTACACAATAGATAAATCGATGAATTAGATGACATAAACACCAGGGGTTGCATTCAATCTATTTAAACATTCTTCTTAAATTTCAATAACCTCTATCACAGAAAATCATCAAATCCTAATGTTTCACAAGTTAAAGGAATCAAACAATTACAGATTTGAAATTTAACTTAGCTATAGATTGCAATACATGAGAAACTAATAGGCTTTTTTAGCAATCAAGCATGGCAACCATATAATTACGCACAGAAGAATATTCAATAATGAAAATATAGATTAAACATTGAAACTAGATGGACCTCACAGTTATAATGTTTCCAAGGCTTTGATATCCTTCAATCAAGCACCAAGAATTAGTTACAATTCATGAATCTATGAGAAAAATAATGAAGAATGAAGTTTGGAGGCCTTTTTCTACGTTCTTGGTCGAGTTTAGTATTTAAAGGATGCCAAAAAGATTGCATTGAATTGTTACCAAAACAAAAATAAGGAAAATTGGATTTTTTTTCCTTTTAGCCTTGAGACACGTGCTTAGTGTAACCTAGGGTATGCGCCTTGGGAGGTTTGGGAGCCTCAGGTGAGGCATTTTTGATCTGGGGTTTGCACCTCTTCTGCAGGCGAGGACGCGCGTCTTGCCTAATTTTCGACAGCTGAACAGCTCTCAATAGCTTTGTCATAACTTTCTTTCCCGGTATCCGATTGTGGCGATTCAAAATGAGTTGGAAAGATAACTCAAATGGATACAACTTTACTTCAAATATAATCTTCTAATTCGATCTTTTTCCATGTCAAACATGGGTCTCAATATGAGGTTGAAAACTGGTGCATAACTTTTTCGATTGGAAACTGATGTGCGACCATACTTCAACGATATTTCATCCCTTTGATGTATTTTTTCATCCAATTGACTCCTAACACTCTCAAATCATCATCGAGAGGTTCCACGTAACTTTTGAGTATTTGCATTTCGGTGCCCAAACTTCGTTTTCTTTCCTTTTGGCCCTTGTTCGCTTATTTCTTCCAAATTACGACATATTCATAGAATTGGCACCTAAGTCAAAATATGAACGTAATAAATACATTTTGGCACCAATTAATTATACGAGTACATAAAATAAGGAGGGAAAAATATGCATTTTACATTCCTATCACAAAATTTGGTGTGTGCTGAAGCAGGCACCCAAAAGCGATACCTTAACCTCTAAAACTAATGTAGTAGTGGAAGTAAGGCTCGATCCCGCAAAGAGTGTGTAATTAAATGTTTTGTGTTCGTACAATCATTGATAGGTTTTGTTTGTATTGAAATCAATCTTGAAATTAATAGAAATGTAAATTAACGAGTTGTATTAAATCAATAAAATGAACCTTGATCTAAGTCAACTTCCACCATTGGAGATTTATAAACAATCATTGCCCCACAAAGAATAATCAATCCACATTCTCAGTATTCACCGTTGGAATTAATTCCCATTTTCCCTTAATTTTAGTTAGATAGAAAACAGCGACCTATTTAATCTCAATTATTAAACAACCCCAGACCAGCGCAAAAGATTCAATTTAGGCCCCGTTTGACATCCATTCTCTTCCCCGTTCTCTTTCTCAATTTTTTTTTCTCTTTCTTCATTTCAACCACACATTCTATCAATAAAATAATATTACACATAAACCCAAAAATTCTTCTCACTTTTTAACCACACATTCTTCCCATCAATCATTAATCCAGAATTTATTCTTCTCCAAAATGGGTGTCAAACACACCCTTAATAACATCTATACACAATAGAGAAATCGATGATCTAGTTAACACAAACACCAACGATTGCATTCAATCTATTTAAACATTTTTCTTAAAATTCAATAACCTCGAATGCAGAAAATCATTAAATCGTAGTGCTTCACAAGTTAAAGGAATCAAACAATTATGGATTTGAAATTTAACTTGGCTATATATTGCAATACATGAGAAACTAATGGGCCTTTTTAGCAATCAAGCATGGCAACCATATAATTACGCGCTGAAGAACATTCAATACCGAAAATATAGATTAAACAATGAAACAAGATGGACCTCATAGTTATAATGTTTCCAAGGCTTCGGTATCCTTCGATCAAACAAACATGGGTCTCAATATGAGGCTAAAAACTGGTGCATAACTTTTTCGATTGGAAATTGATGTGTGATCATACTTTGATGATATTTCATCCCTTTGACGTCTTCTTTCAACCAATTGACCTCTAACACTCTCAAATCTTCATCGGGAGATTCCGCATATCTTTTGAGTGTTTGCATTTCAGTCCCCAAACTTTCATTTCCTTTCACTTTTGGCCATTGTTCGCTTATTTCTTTCAAATTATGTCATATCCATAGAATTGCCACCTAAATCAAAATATGAACGTAGTGAGTACATTTTGGCACAAAATAATCATACGAGCGCATAAAATAAGGAAGAAAAAAATATGAATTTTACATTCCTATCAAATTCTCCCACACTTAGCTTTTGCTCGTTTTCGGGCAAAACTCAAATTTAATTCCCTAAAAACACTCAGGTCATAATACCATGAACATAGAACAATCAAACTATTTAATGCGCACAACATATCATAAATAAACATTCTCACACAACTTATAAGAGCGTACTAGAAGGTGGAGAAACCAAAGGTGGAAATACTAATTGATGAGAATGAGATACGTATTACAAGCTAGGGAAGGATACGGAGCTATATCACTTATGCGATGAGTCTGCTTCAGGAGAAGGGTTCAGATGACATAGTGTTCAAGGCAATGGGGAGAGCTATCAATAAAACTGTTACAATATTAAGAGGAGAATTGTTGGTCTTCACCAGATTTCATCGATCCAATCCATGGACATAATTGACACATGGGAACCCCTAGAGGAAGGCCTCTAAACTCTGGAAACCACAAGGCAAGTTTCGATGATAACAATTAAGCTCTCTAAAAAGGAGTTGGATATCAAAAATATTGGGTACCAACTACCATTACCAGCTGATCAGGTGAAGGTGTCAACTAAGCTTGAGTATAAAGGAGATGGATCTGCCGCTAGTCAAAGAAGAGGTCGAGGTGGCAGAGGGCGGAGGATGTCAAGAGCCACATCTGGAAATGGTTTTGCATCTACTGAGCATGAGGATGGAAGTTATGGGTGGAATCGCGGGTACCCCAGGGGTAGGGGGCGAGGCAGAGGTCGCAATTTCCGTGGCCGTGGGAGGGGAGGGTACAATGGTCCGCTGGTAGAAATTCAGCGTGACAGTGAGGCTATAATCAGGAACCATCAGTTCGAGGTCGTGGCTTCTCGTCTAATGGCCAATCCATGCTACAGCTGGAGTTACTTAGTTCAAACTTGGAGCAATGAGGACATAATCTTCTGTGAGCTTAGATAAATGTCTGCTCCATTTCTACCCTTTATGCATTTGTTACTAACTGTAGTATGTATTCAATGTAGACTAACTTGGAAATTCCTGACCACATACGACTAACTTGGAAATTCCTGACCACATACGAGTGGTTGAGCCGTTTTGTTTTCTATTCTTAACCATTTGTTTTTATAGTTGGAAATTAATAAGGTGTAATTTGATTAGCAAGATCATATAGTTGGATATTAATAAGGTATAATTTGATTAGCAAGAGCATTCTTTAAAAAAAAAAAATCATATGAAGATGGAATAAACCAAACATGTAGACCCTCACAGATATAAGCACTCAACTCTCATGTGTTTAAAAGGTAAGCGTTTCGCTCAATTTCATTCCAATGAAGATGATCTAACCATGTGCTTGCATATCTTCTCATTCTCCACCTCCATCATTTATTTTCTTTTTCTTTTCTTTCTCTTCTATCATTCACTTCTTTTTTTCTCTTTTTTTTGTTCGATTTAAAAAAATATATATAAACTCCAAATGTTACACCATAATAGAACTTATGAATTGAAATTGAAACATGTTCCATTCCATCAATCATAGCACTACAAAATTTTTTGACACCCCCATACTTATTTTCTTACACACCCACACATATCATGATGATGAACAATACTCCACTAGCTCTAAGACTTGGGTAAAGATTGTTTTTCGGGTTTAAAGCTTGTAATGTGGATTTACAAAAGAAAAGACAATAAAGCTCAAAAGGGCTCAACAAAGGGTAAAATTAATTGTAGGGTAGGCTATTTGGCTAAGGTGGCTAATTCATGTTAGTGCATGCATGTGTCAATACGATCTTGAAGAGAATCAAAACAAGTTCTAGAGAAATAAAACCATAGAAGAAGATCACACATGAAAGAAATAATGAGACTGTTATGGATATGTTAGTCTAA